CAAAGTCAGGGGAGTGTAGAAAGGGAAAATCAGGATATTGAAAATATACTGACCACGTGGATGCAATTGATGATAATTCACGTTGGAGCGAGGGTTTAAGGTTTGTGCAACTCATGAAAAACACAGTTTTTCACGCTGGTATCAAACAACCTCCTTGTGAGGCACTTTTCTGGTTTAAAATAAAAGTAGGTCTACAGTTACTCAATGATTTCACGCAAAGGTCGAAACTGAAGAAGGCTTGGAGAAAACCATACAGGATCTTACCGAGAATGAAGAGGATCCCAAAGTCTCTGCATCTGAAATCTGAGCCGAGTTAAGTTTCTAACAACGATTAAAATCTACGCGAAACTGCAATAAATAAATGTAATAAATAAATGCAGCGTCTGTTCACAAGAAACTACAGGGGCTCATACATGTAGAGAATGCGGACGTGCAATCCACACAAATTGCGCAATAGCTGAAGAATTACTCGATGAAAGATTTTTATCTAAAGTTCTGTGCCCATTGTGTTCGAAAAATGAGGGGGCTGGGATTAATCCGAACAATTCCTCAGAGCCCTCCCCGTGGTAAATGCGAAAGAAAATGCAAAGAGATGCAACATCTCTTCGTAGCGGCAATGAGTCGGGCTGATCGGAAAGGACTCGGTCGTCGACGATTCGAGTCGCTCTGCGCTGGATGCGGTCAAGTGGAAGGAGCTGGCACTGGGGAGCCCCTGCCCAGAGATGGGAACAGTATTCCATGTGAGGCCGAACCTGCGCCTTGTAAAGTTGCAGGCGTTGTGCCGGCATGAAATACTGTCCCGCTCTGCTGAACACGCCAAGCTTTTTAGAGGCCAATTTGGCCTTCTCTTCCAAGTGACCATGAAACTGCACGTCACTCGATATGTCGACACCGAGGATTGCGATACTGGCTGAGGCAACAAGGGGAGTACCTTGAAACTGAGGAGATACGACAAAGGGGTTCTTTTTAGGCGTAAACACGCAAACTTGTGTCTTCTGAGGACTAGATTTAGTCGCCCCCAATCTGAGATTTTGTCCAGCAAAGACTCAACTTCAGACACAAGTTTGTTCCGGTACTCGGCGACGTTTTCCCGAGAAATATTAGCACGGCCGGTGTATAGAGCATCACCAGTGCTGTCATCCGCATAACAATGAATGCTACCGGTTTGCAACATATCATTGATATGCAGAAGAAACAGCGTTGATGATAGCACACAGCCTTGTGGAACACCAGCGTTAATAGGCTTGTAGTCGGAGCATGCACCGTCTAAAACGACCTTGATGCTCCGATCTGCAAGAAAGCTAGTGATCCAATTGCATAATTTCTCGGGAAGCCCATAGGAAGGAAGCTTCGAAAGAAGCGCTTTGTGCCAAACCCGATCGAAGGCCTTCGCAATGTCCAAAACCAAAGGCCAATGCCTCCCCCTTGGATTCGATCGTCTGCGCCCATCTATGTGTTAGGTAAACAAGAAGATCACCAGCTGATCGACCCCGACGAAAACCGTATTGGCGGTCACTAATCAGCTGGTGATCCTCAAGGTACCGCATGAGGTGGCAGTTTATAACGGATTCCATTATTTTGGAGAACAAGGGGATGATGGCGATAGGCCTGTAGTTGGACGGGTCTGAGCGGTTGCCTTTTTTAGGGATCGGGTGGACAAAAGCTGTCTTCCATGATTTCGGGACTACGCTTAGGGAGTAGGAGTACCGGAAAAGACGCGTTAGAACCGGTGCCAAGTCCGGAGCACACGTCCTCAGCACAATTGGGGGGATTCCGTCAGGCCCACTCGACTTGTGGATGTCCAGGGAGAGGAGTGCTCTGCGAACCGAGCGCTGTGAGAACCGCACATCCGGCATGGAGCACTCACATCGCGGGATGGTCGGCGGTGTTTTCCTCCCGTCATCAACAGTCGAGTTGGACGCAAAAAGGGAGCTTAAAAGGTCGGCTTTCTTTTTTACGTCGTGGGCCAGTGAGTCGTCCTCCCTGTGCAGAGATGGTATGGATGGATGGTAGTGATGGCTTACAGAAACTCCCTTGGACAGCCTTGGAGAGAGACCAGAATGCACGAGTTCCCGAAGGAAGGCGAACTAGTTTCTATCCAATTCTGCCTATGTGCTCTGACATTGCCCTGGCAATAACTCTTTTGAAGGACCTGGAAGCGAAGTTATACTTCTTTTTAAGTATGCTGTTGTTTACATCCCGAGTCGCCGCAGCCGCAGCCCAGGCTTGATAACACTTCTGCTTACTGCGTAATGCAGTCTTACAGGAGCGACCAAACCAAGGCTGAGATTTGCCTCCGATGGGTACCACAGATGATGGAATAAATAGTTCCATTCCCTGTTGCACCACATCAGTGACAGATTCAGCAACAGCGCTGGGATCATCCGGCGAGAAGCAAACCCGCCCCCATGGGTAGGAAGCAAAGAAAGACCGCATTCCATCCCAATCCGCCGACCTGTAATGCCAAACACGGCGGCAACCTACAGAACGCTACCGCGAGGGGAGCGTGAGTGGCACCACCCTCCGGATCAGACAATGGTCCGAAGAGCCGAGAGAGGCATCGACGGAAACCTGATATCCGTCCGGATGAGAGGTCAGCAGAAGGTCCAACAGGGAAGGTGTATGATCCTCAACATCTGGAAACCGCGTAGGCGATGTAACCAGTTGTTTCAGAGCATATGCCAAGGCAAAGTCATGAACAGATCTCCCCGCATGATCGGTTAAACGTGAACCGAGCTATTTGGCGTGGTGGACGTTAAAATCGTCAATGATCTCTGCGGATGGGACCTGTTGTAGCAAGGAATCTGTAGCCATTTGGACGTGGTCGATGAGTCGGTCTGATTCGGCATTATCTCTATGGGATCTATAGAGGCACCCGTAGACGCGCGGACGGTCGTCGCTGTCTACGCGTAGCCAAAGGATGGACAGGTCCGAACCTTCAAGACTGCCGAGGAGTCGAGAACAGATGTCCTCTCTGACGTATACGCAAATTCCAGCCCGAGGAACAAAGGAGTGCTCCAATTTCTACCCCGGGTAGGAGAGATACGAAGTATCAGCCGGAGAGGATACCTGCGTCTCGGTCAGAAAGAGCAAGGCCGGCTTCGCCCTCTCGAGATGGTAGTGGACGGCGTTTAGGTTCGAGTGAACTCCCCTGATGTTGCAGAAATTCACGGATAGCGTGGCAGGGATCGCCTTGGTGTTCTTGCTCAGTTTGCCCCTAGCAGTTATGCTTTTGAGCGGAATTTTGCCCCCCCCCCAGAATATGCGGGGCAGCCTGAGCATCCACGCTCAGAAGTGGAATAGCATGGTCGTGGATGCTCAGCGAGGGATTCTCCAGGGGTGCTGGTACCCTCGTGGGGTAGTCTATCATGTTATCCCGCTACCATGTTTATGGGGGGGGGGGGGAATTGGGCCTCCGGTCACCTGCACTTACCAGACGAAACGCGGAAGCAGAGCTTCCACTTCACGCCGGTATTCTGTGAGGTCGTGTTACTAACCCGGTTCGAGCCGGCCCATACGTGCAACAGCAAAAGCCGCTGCGTGGCTCTACCACCGTTAAAGTCTTGGCTAAAACTGACGATGAGCTCTATCAAATTGGTACCGAGAATGGTATCATAAAAAAATTGTATTCGAGATCTCAGATTAATGTTTGTCCGAGAGTTCTTCTAGAAATAAATAATGTACCGAGTACGGAAATCGCACTAGGTTAAGTTGCAATCCTACAATCCACTGGAACGGGTCAAGGATTCAAAAAGTGCCTTTGCAAGAAGAACTGTAGTACAGCAAGATATTTGTGTTATAAAAATAAATTAATGTGAACTTTCAAGTGCCATTCCAGCTTACCCTGCAAAAACAAATAGTTACTTTCATAGAGTTTACTATAAAAATAGAAAGAGTTTTATTTTTATATTGTTAAGTACGTAGAATTACTGATTGACAGACTGATTACCAAATGAAAGTTTGAGCTTTATAAGAAAATAGATATATTTTTTGTGCTAGATGGGCTTTGAAAATTAATACATAGTTAATTTTTGAAGCTTAATTAGGAAGAAGCCGTACGAATAAATTATATTAATTTACGAAATTATTGTCGCCTGATTGTATCGAGTCTTAATAAAAATTCTGTTTCTCAGTTTAGCAACGTGTTTCATTTATTGGGTTTACAGAAAGTTTTCCTTTTATATATGTCCTAATACGATATCGGAATTTTATATAAATCCTAGGAAATGTGTACATTTCCCAGGATATGAGTGTATTAAATAATCTTTGAAACAATATTTGATACATTTTCTAAATAGCTGCGGAATTGTATACAATTCCTAGGTTTTATAGATTTCCGGTAATGGATATAATATATACTCTGGAGTTTAATACTATATATCTATGCCTATGATATACAGGTTTGTACGAATGTGTATTTCCATGACAGTAATCTTCTATGACTATGTTATGATTTAGGGATGAGCAAGGGAAAAAATATATCTATATATATCGAATCAATATTTTAAACATTATCGATATATTCTCATCATTTGCATGATGTAAAGATAAGGTCCAAAATTTTATTTACTGACGGTTGGACGACGAAAAAACCGATACATCATTTTAAAATATATCGAAATTGATACGAATACAATACTCTAAAATAAATATCGATATATCACGATTAAAAATATCTACGATATATATAGATATTTTTTAAATAAGAATATCGATATTTTTTATATAAGAATGTCGATATATCGATATTTTTTGCCCAAGCCTAGTAAGATTATGAATTATTTTATGATGTCTGTGATCATAGAGTAGAGTAATATGTAATATACACAGAACACTATTACTCCTACGGAGGTAATATATCTGTGATCGAAAAAGCGTGTGATGGTGATGCTTTGAAGTTTTGTTTATTTTAATAAAAATAAGTGTTTTTTTGTGGTAGATTTGATTGATTAAATGTGTAATAGTATGAAATAATAACTGAGTTATGCTAAATTACTAAAATGTCTCGTGATCCTCCTCGAAAATCTTTCTATAACCGGGGACGCGATTGGGATAGTAATGACTACAGAAATCATCAAATGTCGAGAAAACGAAGCAGAAGTCCAAGCCGAGATATAAAACGCCGCAGTCGTTCGCCTCGAAAATCTGAGAAAGAATTATTAGACGAGAATATTTTAAGTGAAATATCCAAATTACCGGAACCCAACGAATTATGGGACAATCAATTTCAAGAGAGTGGATTTAGCGGGAATGCTGCACCGCCACCGCCTCCGTTTTCACAAGATGTAAATGTATAACTTTTAATTAAATTTTTATTTACAAGAGGTTACGCAAACTGCTTCTTATTGAAAACCCGGTTAGTTTGACATCTAGAGCTAACTGCTCATGCTGGAATACCAAAATATGCATGTAAATATGTAAGATAAATATGTACGAAAATCCATAAAAAGGGCAAAAATATGTTTTCTATGTTAAAAGGCTAATATTTGTCAACCATAGCTATCGTATTTGCGAAAATATTAAGTACAAAATATATTTAGCATTGAACTTTACACCTTTAAAAATGTTAAGTACTGTTCCAAATATTCTGTAGACAAATTGTCTCTACAATCACTTAATACATTTTTGTAAATGGAAAATAACTGTTCTATGTCCACTGAGGTTACTAGGCAGAATTTTAATTTGGGTGCCATGCTTGGACTAAAAAGAAAATTCACCCGCCCTGTTGATGAAGCTATCAATTTGGCATAAGGGTTTAAACCCTGGGTTATTGCTCAGTATGTTTTGAAACTTTTCTTTGAGTATACTTGGGAATAGCTCTGGCAACAAGGAGTCCATAAGACAAATTTTCTTCATAAGCTCAAAATCCATGAGTTTCAAGCATTTTAAGATTCACAGGGTGAAATATGCATGATTTCAAATATTTTGCAATAATATGCAACTACTGCTAAAAAGGAGCTACATACGCAATATTCCAATGCATATAATCTGGTCTCTATTCTTAACTCTTGTTTGATTTGGTTTTGTTTTATGTAGTGTTCTTACAGTTTACAAGATGAAAGCAAAACAAGATGTAAGGGAAAGTTAATGTACGAAACAAACCCAATGAAAGTCGTTCTAACACTGATTTTATTGTAAAGGAATATACTTTATCTATATCTATACATCTATACATATAAATAAAATTGAAGTGTCTGTTTGTAATGTCAAAATACCAGCTTTTTACTAACTACATGTGAAAGTATATACTGTACTTACAACAAAAATACAATTTTTAAAATTTTTGTCTGTCTGTATGTCTGTTTGTTCCGGCTAATCTCCGAAACGGCTGGACCGATTTCGACGGGTCTTTCACTAGTAGATAGCTGATGTTATTAGGAGTAACTTAGGCTACTTATATTTTAGAAAAATAATTAGGGTTTCGTGCAACATAATTAAAACCCTAAATAACACTCGGGCGAAGTCGCGGGGAACAGCTAATATAATTATATGATTATTATAAAAATGATGTAAAAGCAGAAGTACGGAAGTTGTACATGTGGGCGTAATTAACAATTAATATTGTTTCTAAGTGACCTAAATTAATGAGTAATGCACCTTTTATTAACTATTACATGGTAACCCATACACTTTAGTTACATTATCATCTAAAACTGTCTACTCCTTTCTCAATAGCCCAAAGACCATGTATTGGCAGAATCATTTCACCTAACCTCTTTAGCAAGCAAATACTATAAAAAAGTTGTAATAAATTAAATGGGCAAACGGAAAGTATACTTTTTTAAAAACTTATATAAATTGCCAATAATGAGATATACTTACATTTGCAATTGCTGGCACTTGTTGAAACTTAATTTTCATTTTTATGATTTTATTAACACGTACTTGTTTGTTGACTAATAAATTGACCAGTCTCACCTTACAACATCATCAGGGTATAGTAATGTAGAAAATATGCCGAATGAGGAGAGAAGTTTTGTCCTGTCTAGATCGTTCAATTACATTACTACTCTCTTTTACGAACTTAACTCTAATATATATATATATCTATTGTAGTGGGGTCTATATGTCACTACACCTCCCACCGACAAACAAAAAATTAAAAAATAATGAACACATTATTTTTTGTATTAACAAAAATACATAATTGAAGATAGATTCTATGGGTAGATCAGGTGGCCTGATCCCCTGCCGTTTCCCATAGTAATTTTGACGTCACAATCTTGTTTCGTAACAGTATTAATGTTGTGAGTTTACATATTTCCTTAAAAAATATTTTTCCATGATAATATATTTCTAGTGCTTACGTCACATAGTTCTTAAATCATCTTGTCATTATACCACTTATCTCGTCCGGAGAATACTTTTTTCATTCACAATTACATATCCATAAGTCACAAACTTACTCACATCATTTACAATAATATATTCTTTATATAATTTTTGTCAAGAATTGAGGCTCACAATTTAATCATACATAGTATTTGCAAAAATTACACTAAAATTATTAAACTACTAAACAAATCATTATAGTAATATTTTAAATATACAGAAGAAATGTCATTGTAAACCATTATAATTACATAACATATAGATGAGAATACAAATTGCAATCAAAGCAGCACAAGCAATTTGTGATATCTTTGTTTTATATTCAAGGTACATAAATGGAAACAGGATACAGGATTAATAGCTGTGAGCTGAAAAATTAACTACATAAAATATTACTGTTTTCAACAAAACATATTATTTATTAAAAAAAAAGATTGAGATGTAAAAATCTGATGTGAATTAGTCATTAAATTAAATAATTTATGGTTAGACTTAGTAAATTTTTTATGCTTTATCGCCAGGCAATCAACATGCCAATAATTAAGCAATAATTTTCTTATTATAAAAGGAGTAAACAAGCATGTGGCTCACCTGATGGTAAGTGACTACCCCCACCCATGAACCACTGCAACACCAGTTTTCATACTTTGAAACAACAAAAGTATCTCTTGACAAACAAATATGGAAAAATATGGCAAAATTAATGGAGTACTTTTATCTATCGGCATATGTACATTATAAAGCGAATTTAAATTTTATCGACTCTCTCCCCCTCCCGTGTGTGCGTCACCCCCCCGCGCCCAATAAAGTGTCCCGAAGTGCGGTTTTTATTCAGTTTTAAAGAAAACCATACAAGGTACATAAAGAGTGTCATCATCATCATTACAGCCCTTCACAAGTCCACTGCTGAACATAGGCCTTCACCAAGGAATGCCACAAAGCACGGTCCCGAGCCACTCGACTTCGATTTCCTGCATATCTTTCCAGGTCGTCACTCCATCTAGTGGGGGGACGCTCTACACTTCGCCTGCTGGTATGAGGTTGCCACTCGAGAACCTTTTTTCCCCATCGGTTGTTGGTTCTTCATGCTATATGGCCAACCCATTGCCACTTCAGCTTACTAATCCATTGGGCTATGTCGGTCACTCTGGTTCTTCTGTGGATATCCTCATTTCTAAGTTTATCATGCAGAGAAACTCCGAGCATAGCCCTCTCCATAGCTCGCTGAGCGACCTTGAGCTTCCTCATCCGACCAGCAGTGAAGGACCACATCTCAGTTCCATAGTTCATCATTGGCAACATGCAAATAAAAAGTGTGCAGGTACGAAATAATCCTTGATTAATTTGCTATCAGCCTCTTATACATACAAAAGCGATATCACCTATAGTTTCTGTGCAATTTGTCACGAAATATGAACATTTTTCATTATTTATTGATTTCTTTTGTTCGAATTTTAGTTTTCTCAACAATTTCCCACTTTACTGCCAAAATATGTAAAACTAAAGAAAAAATAGAATATGCTTTTTAAGAAGAGGTATAATTTATTTCTAAACTCTTTAATGCTATGCTAATTTTAAAATTTAATTGATTTAGCGAAATATAAATATTTGTAAATGATCTAAAAACTTTGCAAAAGAAATGGAGTACTTTATATTTGTACTGTTTGTCAATTGTAAACACAGCATACATCTCTTGTAAGGCTGGACTGTGCACACCTGCACAAAGCATAAAATATTACTTCAGCTACTAACTGTTCAATATTGTATTATAAATGTAAGTAGAATTTTGTAAGCTAGGAAAAGTAATTTCTCTGCATTGGATTGCATTGCCTTTTATTATACAACTGTTAAACTTTAATAAACAACTACTCACAAAATATTCACTGCCACAGTAAAGGTTCTTTAAACAATTAAATCTAAATTTAAGCTGAGAATGGCCAAGATCGAGATTAAGAAAAAGGCCACGGTCAGACCTTAAAAATTTAATGTTTTGTTTGTTTTTTGTTTGTAAATAAGTTCGTTTTAATAATGTTCAGTATTATAATTGAATTAATTGAAATATTTTTTTCTTTTATGATACCTTATGAACATACTGTAGATTGTAGCATTATTATTGGCTTTGTGGTGTGGCGGAGCTGTCGTCGTTCCACAAGCGAAACCTAACTTGGGCTATCAAAGTTCCAAAGTAAAAAAAAACAGTATATAGAATAGTTCCAAACTAGCACTTGGAGTGTTGGCCGCTCCCTGGGCCATCACCTTGTCTGGCGGGAGATCTCCCCTTTCCTTTCATAGCCAAAGTAGCATTTCTTAGGGAGGCCTATGTTTAGCAGTGGACTTGCGAAGGGCTGTAGATTTATAGAATTTCTATATTAGAATATATAGAATTGTTTACTCTTGAGATTGTTTTGTTTGTATCATGGCATGTCTCCACCAAAGTTTTGTTGTCAACACAACATTTGCCAACACGTTTTGCCAACAAATGTTTCTGTCAACAAGCGTCTCCACTAAGGGAACAAATGTCGTACAAGCGTATTCCTTTGATGTTGCCGCCGAAAATCGAAACAAGTTTAGTTGGCAAATGTTGTGTTGACAACAAAACTTTGGTGGAGACGCGGTTTAATATTGATGTGCCTCAAAATTTTTCTTTAAAAAAAATCTAATTGCCAACTCCAAAGACCTAAAAATAATTTAAAAAATTGATATTCTGAAGTCTGTGCTAAGTAATAGTGTATAGAAGAATTGAAGCCCTGACTGTAATGTGAAATGGTTTTATTTATTTTAGTTCTTTAACTTTTACAAATAATTTTTTTAACCCTTTTGAGTGGACTATGGAACATCACAATCTCAATGTTGCCTAAATAGTTCCATTAAAAAACTTCGTCCCTTAATTTGCAACCCTTAGCGGTGGAATTTTGTCTTCAAATTTATATGGGACCATTCATGAAGTATACAACATATTTAATAAAAAAAGAATCATCAACATCAGTTCTCAATTGACGAAGATATCGCGTAACGTACGTCCTCCTTTGTTTGAAGTAGACTCAAAAGTCAATATAAAAACTTAAGTTTTAGTAATTAGTAGTGCTTTAGTTTAAGAGTCCCGCTGGATTTCTTCTTGCTGATTTTTCCCGGGGCAGAGGTTATTCTAAACCAACGGTAAAAGCATAAATTACTTTCAACTTGAAACAGTTATATATATTGAATAGCTTTTTAACATTAAAACAATGTAAGAATTATAATTTTTCTTTAAGGGCACTTATCCCAGCAATTACCAGCCGTCATATTCGGGTATCTATGATGACTTCTCATCTATACCATCAGCACCACATCCACCAAATGTTTCCAGTTGGAACCAGGTGCCAATGCGGCCTACTCCACCAGCACAACCAACATTTGTTAATAATGTTGAAGACCAGATAAAAAAAGAAGGTGAGTGCATATATTGCATTTTTATAATTATTTTAAAGGTCAGATTCAGTTTAATATTACATTGAGTTGTTAGAAATTGCTGTCATGTGCAATTTGTGCTTAAGATGCTTTATTAGTAAATTGTTACAGTACAGTCAATTCTCAGGTTTGATGAATGTCATTATGGTGTTTCTTTAATGTTTAGATTTGCTTTATTGTTTTGTTATATGATTGAGTAGAGATAATTGGCTGAATGAATGTAGGATGAACAAATGTCTGTCAAATTATTTTTCTTTAATTTTATTTTTTATTGATACCAATGTTACATGAACAAAAATCCTGGTTCTATGTCCTTAAGTTCAATGTGTTGTGATATAGTCTCTTAATTAATATAACACGACAACATATGCAAAAATAAATTTAGGGAAAATATATAAGTAATTGCACTCGTAGACAAATGACAATCACTTTTCGTTGCCTTTTTATGATGTTAATTTTTAAATACTGTTTGTACCTGCATGAGCTGTGTACAAAATAGTAAAATGAAGCAACACTCCATCCAACATCAACCCGTCTTATCAGGAATTGATGTGTAGATATGCAATGAGATGGCACATCTAAATATGCTAATACATAATCAAGCCTCACATAAATCAGTATTGTTCAAAGCTGCAAGTATTGTAAAGTAGGCTTTGGTTGACGCGCAGAAGATATTTTGAAAAAGACTTGGAAGAAGATAAGTCTAGATTAATTTACATAATTTAACAATTATTACTTACAATAAAAAACATACTTTCCGTAATTTACACTTAAAAAATTTAAAACTTAATTTTATTTAAAATAAGGGACTTCTATGGTTCCTAACGGCGCCACGATTTACGAGGATGACACTGAAAGTTCTTAGAAGATCAAAAACTGAACAAACTAGCAAGTTATTAGTTTTATTATATCTTTTCAAAATAGTGTCCATTTACATCAATACATCGCTGCATTCGATGGAACAACTTAGAAAAGCACTTTACCCACTTGCCCTTAGGGGTCTCTTCGAGGGCGTTTTGAAACGCAGCCACTGCTTCCTCAGCGTCCATAAAACGTTTTCCTCGAAGATTTTATTTTATTTTCTGAAATAAATAAAAATCGCAATGTGCGAGGTCGGAGCTATAGAGCGGGTGACCCAGTAATTCCACGTCTGACGTCGCCAAGTAGTCGATTGTTTGCTTGGCGGTGTGTGACGAAGCGTTGTCGTGGTGGTGAAGGAGGATCCTACTACGAGGTCGTTTCTCCCGAACTTTTTCCAAGACAAGTGGCAAACAATTGTTAGTGTACCACTCTGGAGTAACTGTTTTTCGATCCTCTAAAACAATTGTTGCGTAATGACCTGTCGTTTCCAAGAACGAGGCCAATATCTTTTTGCCTACGCTTCGACCTCTCTTCACTTTAGTTGGCAACTCTTCGGAAGGAAACACCCAGACAGCAGACCGTTTCTTAGTTTCAGGATCATAACAAAAATATCATAAATCCAGCTTTCGTCACCCGTAAGTATGTCGAACACAGTATTTGAGTCATCTCCGTTAAATCTTTGAACCATTTCACGACACCAATCAACACGACGGAGTTTTTGTGCCTCTGTCAAATTATGAGGTATCCACCGGGCACAAAGTTTCCTGACCGCTAAATATTCATGGTGGATTTTGTGCACTTGACTCATACCGATGCCTAAGCTTGTCCGAATCTGCTGATAAGTCACGCTTTTGTCCGTCTCTTTCATACGCCGCACAACTGATGTTATCTTCAGTCGTCGCCGTAGAAGGCCGTCCCTCACGCAGATCATCGGTGACATTAGTGCGGCCACGTTTAAACTCATTAAACCAGTTGTAAACAGTGGCACGAGATGGGGCTTCATCGTGAAAGGCCAAACGAAGTCTATCATAACTTTCTTGTTGACTTAAATGACATCGAAAGTCATAAAAAATCATTGTACGAAAATTTACTCGCGTTAAATTCATGCTAACGTGCCACAGACAATTTTCAATTTGCCGCCAAATCGTAAACAAATGACAAATTAATAAAATACATACACAATAATATTGGCAAAGAGTTCCATTTTCAAATTTTGAACTTATTTTTTTATTATATCGTTTACAAAAGGCCAGTTCTAAAAATTCAGTGTCGCCCTCGTATATCGATATCTCGGAACACTAAGCGAGATATCGAAAAATTGTATTATTCCTTTTCGGCGTATCCCGTCGAGATCTATGCGAATCCGCGAAGGCGCCGTAAGATTTTTTATATTTAAGAAAATAATGAAATATATTAAAACTAATACACTCCAAACTCTTACTTATTTTTGTAATTAAAGATTTTATCCCCATATTTGTGTCAAACATGTTTAAAACATGAGCTGTTGTTACCAAATTACGAGTACTATATGTACACTTTAAAGTTGTATTCTCAATATAACCTTTATATTTTGACAATGGTCACATGTTGAAATCAGAAGTCTTTTTACTTTGTAACATATTTTTTAAATACCTAATTGGTAAAACATTGTGAATAATTGTTCTTAAAATGAAAGAAATAATGCTTAATGCAGAAATTGCGGAAGCTTATTAAAAAAATTGTTCAAACATTTTTGGTGACATGACATGATCAAAAACTAAACACTACCATACGTCAACGCTCGCCAACGGCCATAAAACGTGTGGACAGCAACGATGATATTGCCAGGCCTCTCATTCTTTCTACCTGCGTGAAATAATTACCTACAATCGCGAGCTGCCCCAAGGGTTGATCGCAGTCGGGGCTAGCGCGCTCTATACGATTGAATGTTAAAGTTTTTTTTAACGCTGTTTACGTAAATAATTTTTTGTAAATACTTGTTGAAATACTCGTCGAAATAGTTTTTGTTTAGTATTTAGTATATTCAATTGTAAGATAAAATATTGATAAAATATTGAAAAAGTTTTAATGTAATTTAAGAATAATATACAGTTCTTCCAGGAGACTTTTAAATCTGCTGTGGTTCAATTCTCTTCGTATATAATTAACAATATTGATAACTGTCTTCATTATAGGTTCTATTTCTGGATTTACAACACGCGCCGCCAAGTTTTCTTGGTGGATAATGCAATAAAATGTTATTAAAATGGTTAAATTATATTTTTCTTTAAATTAACGAAATAAATCCATTTTCGAATCCAATCACACGGATAGGACAACCATCTGTACACAGACACACGATTTTTTGTATGTCATTTTCATTCTGCTCTAAAAAATTGCAAATAGTATCAAGGTAATCTGTGCCTGGGGTTTTCTGTACAATATGTAACAAACTCGGTGTTTTGCGATGTTGCTGAATTGTCGGTGCTGGAATCGAATGCCAAGCAATAAAAAGAAATCTTAGGTTATCTAAAATGTATATCATCGTGAATAAATCTAGAAATGTCTTCAATACGCGTCATACAGGTTGTATCCGAGAGCTGTAGTTCTTTTTTTATCAGATCGTATATGCGTTTTGTTACAGAATTTATCAAAAAGTATACTGGCAGCACTAACAAAGCATTCCTTTACAATTTCTGCATCGGAAAATGGTTTCATATGCTTACCAACAATGTAACAAATTTCATATGATGCCTTAGTTACCGCGGAGTCTTGTGATAATGCCATACATAACATTTTGTTGTTGATGCAATGATCTCTTAAAAAAACTCAATTTCTCATTTCTCAAGGAAGATCCAGGAGGACGTGAAGAAATGACGCGAAATATTCTATTACTTCAATATAATATTTTCACGACATATCAAATAAGTAGTTGCATTGTTTTTGTTTGGCACAACAAAATAATCCGTTTTCCACTCATTTTGAAACAATCTATTTTCACTAGATATTTTCCTGTTAAACTTAGAAGACACTACTGACATTATTTTGAAAATAAAATAATAAACGTCGTCTACATCCCGGGGAAACAAATGATCTTCTAAACTTAACCTCTCTCTATATGAAACAAAACTATTTCCGGTTTAATAACCACTTCTATCTACAAAAAGAAGGGCTAGCCATGGGTTCCCCTCCAAGTCCTCTTATAGCGGACATTTTATGGATAATTTTGAAAAGCAACACACAGTTTTCAATCAAAATATTTTATACTATTATCGATATGTAGACGACATAATTATTTGCTGGACTGGCACAAAGAGGCAACTTAATAAAATTAATAAAATCCACGACAAAATTAAATTTAAGCTTGAATTGGAACACGATTTTGTCCTTAATTTCCTCGACTTAACAATAACAAGGAAAGAGTCGTTACATGAATTTCAAATTTATCGAAAGCCAACTCATACCGACACGGTCATTCCTGCGTCATCATGTCATCCGTGGCAACATAAATTAGCCGCTTTTTATTGTTATATTAATCGTTTGTTTACTGTACCGTTAAGTAAAGAAAATTATTTAAAAGACCTTAATGTGATTTATCAAATTGCTGTTTCTAACGGTTATTCAAAGAATATCATTGACAATGTAATAAAAAAGAAACAAAAACTTGTCGTACGCAATTCTCTGTACGCGGTTAAACCTCAAAGTGATCGTCGATATGTTGGCAGTTTGACCTACTTAGGTTTTATATCTGAAAAAATAGCTAATACTCTTCGACAGAGTAGCGTGTACTTGGCATTCAAAACAAACAATTTACTTAGGAATATCTGTAATTATAAAGATAAGTCGTCTAAAGTCTGGTATTTATAAACTTGTTTGTGACGAATGCCAAGCCGTTACCGTGGGTCAGAATGGTTGCAACTTCGAAACACGTTATAAAGAGCATTTAGCCGCGTACAGGAATTGTAACCCCGATAAATCACATTTTGCTAAACATCTCTTAGACACTGGACACAGCCTATCCAATGACCACTCCTTTAAAGTCTTACATACTTGTAATAAAGGGCTACGACTGTGTGTGCTGGAACAGTTAGAGATATTAAAAAATAATAACGGTAATGTTGCACTGCTGAATGAACAAACAAATGTTTCCAACTCGCCTCTCTTAAACATGCTTAAGCCTGCTCCTTGATGATATATAGCCTCGCAACATGGTCGTTTGTCACCCTCACGGTGCGGTGGTCAGCGTTTGGTTGCGTGGTTGTAGGGTAGGCGGACGTTTCGCAGTAGTTTGTTGTTAATTTCACAGCAAATATCGGCGTACGTCAGGCGGTGATTGATCGCATGACGTAAACGCTCGCTACGTAATTGGAGCGCGGTTGCGTCAGCAAGTAGTATAAATAGCAGTAGTTTCGGCTCGCCGCTCACTTAGCGGCCAGCCTCCGCAGAGTCTACTTCACCTGAGGGTGCCTCGTGTAGAGGCGAAACACGTGTCGTATTGCCGAGAGTGGTGTGTCGTGCCTAGTGTGCTGGTGCTGGGGGTGGTAGTGCTGGGATTAACGGCGACGGGTATAGCGCGCGCGATTGAGGGAGGGTGGGAGATCCCCTTAAAACTGGGCAGGACACATCATTTTCTTTCTTTACGCGGAATTAAGCAAATTAATTTATAACAACCCCAAAATAATAATTTTCCAAATAATAACTCCAAAGAACACAATTAACTGCATAACTTACTGGGTGAGATTAGCTTTGATTATTATTTGTTATCTATCTGTTATCACCATAGCGTAGTGCAGGCATGTAAACAAATTCAAAACAAGTTACGACCGTTCGTGGATACCGCCGCGCGTTCCGTCTCGCTCTTGCAACCACAGATGACTAATAATAGGCTGCGAGCCGATTCACGCCAAAATCGCCGATAGCGCCCCGGCTTACATTCTCTTTCCAAATCACCCGTTCTCTGATGGGAGCGAAATTTAAAATGGTTTACAATAAATTTGGAACTTAAATGGGCCAATCACAAAGGTCTGGCGGCGGACCGTAGGTTGAGTATAGCTGCACTAGACGATTGCGCTTTGTTAAGTGGCAAGTTAACATGATATACGACAATATTACACGCTGGGTTACATATGTAGCCCGCGTGTGCACTCTACTGTTACACTTACTGGTCGTACGGGAGGCCTAATGACACGCCGTATGGTAACGCAGCGATATCGCTAATTTTAGGTGATTGTGTTAAAAATTAAAAATCATGTTTTATGTTTAAGATGTTCTCATTATATTTATTAGAATCAGGCGTTACTTTGCGGAAATAGATTATTTTAAACACGTTAAAAATTAGCTAGCTAAGATCCGCGTAGTAAAAATAAAATGAGGGTAAAGATTGAAGAGCACTTCACGTCCCTACCTCAATTGCTTGCACTATCCTCGTTATCTCTAATCTCACCACCACTACAGTAGGAAAATAACAGGTGTAAAAGACACAGCAGAGTCTATATAGATCAACGAAAATCACCGAACCTCCTGAATCACGCAGACGTGTTCACAACAAAAGAAATTAATATAAAAAGAAACATATTTCATTTCAATCGTATCGTTCTCCTGTATCGTGGAATATACGTTTCTGCTGTAGTTAGTTAGTTTCTCGTGTAGGCAGTTTACAAACATAAATTCCGCAAGAACAAACATTCAGACCGGTATTATATTTATAGGACATATAAATACTTGTTCCGTGTGAGATTCGAACCCGCGGCCTTCAGCGCTGCTACTCAATGATAAACCACTAACGCCACGAAGCCGTCAAATGTTTATGTAACAACATAATCATAAACATGTTAACATATTTTTTCTTTCGTTTTCCAGGCATTTGTACATTATAGTCTTCAGTATGTTAAGAAAGAAAAAAGCAAGACTGGCAAGAAGACTTAAAAGCTTTCGATAGCTTTTTTAATTTTCAATATATTAAAATGATAATTATGATTCGCTACTTAGATCGTGTAATTTCACTTGCACTGTTTTTAAATTTTCAAAGCCTAGCTTACTTTCATTATTTGCATAATATATTTTTTTTTACATTTTGTACAAGCTTTAAAGTGAAATTACACTCATTCATCTTATAGGACTATCTGACTAGATATTTCCTTATAACAGCGGCGATCGAGTCAGAAATGCGACATCAAAAGGCGGCGTTGTCGAAACAACGGGAGGACTGCATAAAAAAAGCTTCAATTCTTAAAAAAGAACTCGAGACCCTGAAAGAACAGCGAAATGAACTCCACAGCGATCCCAAACGATCTCCAAGTCCCGACACCAAACGATTTCTGAAAGAAAATACTAAATTACAGGTTTGATCTTGAAATGCTATTGTGAGATTATACATTTATTAAGTATATATCCATAGCTTTAACCACATTATAGTTTTGTAACAATGTTTGCTTTGAAATTTATGAAGCTTATACTCAAACAATAGTTTGGGTCCTAAAACGTAACCTTGCATCTTGTCCTGCGTTTTGTATAGTTGGAGATCCAGAATAAGCTGAAGACGATCAACAATGTGGTGGATATGTTAAATGGGCTCATTGGTGAGGAAGCACAAGTGGAAAAAGACGTAGATGACTCAACTGAGCGCTCTTCAAAGCGCAAATCCAGGTTGGTAGTGCTACGATTTGTTGAATGCTTGTTGCTAAACTAAAAGTCAAGCAGCAAATTTTTAAGTATCACCTGTTTTATATAAATAATTGACTTTTAGTTTAGTATTATTTTGTAATATTATTTTTTAGTTAATAAGATATTGATTGCATTTGAGTTTTGGTAATATTTTCCAAAGACAGAACAGTGAAGCTTTTAGTGCTTTTTACGGACAGCAGATTTGATTCAACAACAAAGAAAGGAGTCACCGAAGAATATATTGCAGAAGAAATGAGATTTTATAAGATACCTTCTGTATATAAAACTTTGTACATATAATGCTAACATTGTATATAATTCATCAAGTTATTTTGTACTCAATATCCCATGTGTGATATCTCTATATTTATAATTATTATTGTATTTTTTTATTTTTTATTTCTAATTTTAATTGCCTAATAACATTGATTGCTTTATAAAATTTGTCAGTTTGAAATGCATTTTTAATAAAAGGTTTTGGGGATGTCTTCTGCTGTTTCCTTTGTCTTCCATTCCCAATGCATTGCTAATAGTTTTAGCAATGCATTAATATTTGAATAAATATATTTTCTATATTGTTTATTCATCAAACAACGCTACAAATTTGTTAAACTGAATTACGATCAGACTTGTATTTTACTTTCCGAGTTGATTCCACGGTTTTAACCGTTCTATTTTTTAAATCTACCTTATTTGCTCATGATGGTTCGTAATTTATTAAATATTTCGGTCAAACAAAAAGAGTACGAGAATTTTCTTTTACATCTTTTGCTTTTGTTTATTGAAGTAATAGTTAAGATTTTAGTTAGTATCGTATACACTAGAAATTTTCACTGTGAAAGATATTTTTGATAAAATAATTAGCAAATCAGTTACCAAATCTACATATCTACAGTTACAGTGGAATTAACACAGAAAAAAATCTTAGCTCATTTTCCGCACAGTTGTTTGATATTTTACTGGAACTGTTCCTATAACCTAATTCCACAATAAGTCGATATGATTCGAATATGCATTGCATGCATTTTTCGCGTACGAAAACTGTTCTCTATTAATTTCAGCAGTTGCCTTCGCAGTACAGCCATAGCTAATGAGACTGACGCGATGAACCACGTGGGTAACCTACATTTTATTATGTTTCAAGATATTGCGGATCGGGTTTATACTGTCGTGTTAATTTTTATTATAATTTATATTTTTAGGTTCGTTAATGTTTCTATCACCCTGTCAGGTCGCCGTCGGGCAAGAAGTTCAACTATGTGTACTACGACCCGGAGATGCACTGGTGTCGGGTCTGCAATGAGTTTCCCGCCACTGCTAAGGACTATTTGACTCATTTGCATTCACCGGGACATCACAAGTAAGCAACTTTATAATTGGCAACAGATTGTTATTAAGGCATTAAAGAGTGCGATGCCGTTTCTTCTACGAAGGGGTCGAATATATCAAGGAATACATAGATGATAATAACCCCTGGGAGTGAGGTGATCGCTACCAAACTCTTTCTAATATAATCAGTTTGTACAATATAATACATCATGGTAAACTGTCTCGAAAAAACATGCGTGAGTGTCGTGGAACACTCGGTTGGAACGAAGTTCCTTTTATAGTATATTATTATTGATAAACGTATTATATTATTGATTAACAAATATAAATAAATTAATTATTAGGGTCTATTAAAATGAAACCTCATTTAAAATAAAATACACTATAACACAAGGGCGTAGTGACGAAAAAAATCTTACACTTTGTCGCCTAGCTCTCATCCGCCAAACACGTACCGTCCGATAAGGTACTTCGTTCCAAATAAAAGTCTCGCTTGGATTCTTGCTGGTTCCTTCCAGGATTATTCTCCCTATTTTCCGAACATTTTATTTGAGAAGTTGCGATTAAAATAATTTTTTATCGGTTTCTAGAGTATTAAATAATTTTTTACACATCCGTAGTTTGGTTTTTCATTTCTGGTCCAATTAATATAGAAATAACCAATATTGGGTACAGAAATAATCATTAACCCTTACATTTTCTTAACGAATTAACTTTCCCGCCATGAAATCTGTCAAATATTTTACCCCATTCCTAAGTGGCACCGCTCTGGTGACGGAAAAATTCGTAGAAGCCCTTATTGATTAAAATGTTCAAGTAATAACCCGCTACAAATAAAAATGATAATAACTTGACTCTTTTATTTGCTGCAGAATGGCAGCAGCACATATGGAAGCACCGTGGCACTCAGTGCCCTGCATGAACGAAGGCTTCCCCAATTATCCGTCTGCACCCACTAAGCGCACTCCTATCAGAGGTAATTATTAAAATGCAATAATAAATTATTTTTTATGGGATGTTTTAAATTGTTGACTGTTGTATATCGTCTCCATCAGCTTTTAACAGTCTAATGCTGAACAAATTAGTCACATTTTTTTCTTTTTATCAATATCAATCTGATTGTAATTTCTTTCTACGTACAAAAATATATGTGCAATTACATTATATCTTTTGGTGTTTATTTTTAAATATACGATGGCTTCAAGGTCTCCAATTCTTTGTGCCGTCAACGGCGTGGTACTGCAAGCTCTGTGACCAGTTCATCGGGGATCTGCATTGTGCTTCCGCCCATCTCAAGTCGATCGTTCACTCTAAAAATTACACTGTAAGTTCATTAAACATTTGTATTATATTTATTTGCTAAAATAAATATGTCAAATATCAGATAATGCAAAATTCTCAACAATTGTTTATTCTTATGTTATAAGAATCATCGCTGAACACATCGTCGTTCGGTAACCAAAACCACAATAAAATAAATAAATTTCAGGGAGTGACATTTCTAGAAAGTAAAGTCGGCTGCCAAGTGCCTACCGTGATAGCGATGCGTAGCGTAGCGATGTTCATAAATTTATAAAGCGATAATTTTTCTTCATTTTAGAATTTCGTGGAACAAAACCCGCACTGGGACACAGATTGGATGTCAGATAGACAAAAAGCATTTGAGAAGAGCCGAGCTAAAGCAAAAATGGAAGAAAAGCCACAATATACAGCTCATACTATCACATTCTGTAAGGATGGTTTCCACACAAAAACACAGAAAGACAGCCCGCCTCCAACATCAAGCACTGAAAAGAAAAGAAAGAAGGAGAAAAAGAAGAAGAAGGGAAAGAAAAAGCGAGCAGTCAGCAGTTCCTCAAACAGCAGTTCAAGCAGCTCTGATAGTGATTCAAAAAAACCTAAAAGTAAGTTTTCTAAATGCGTTGGACGCCTACCTTTTACCCGTGCCCGTGTAGTAGCTGTGTAAAAATATTCACTAATCCATATCATCCCGGTTATCGCTGTCACTTCCTCATACCGATTCATTCATCACAACCTATAAAAGTTCACTGCTGAACATAGAACTCCCTCATTGATTGCTTCCCACATTGATTGGGAACTGCAGTGTTTTACTATTTTGAGCTGCTATTAAGACGATGCTGCTGCCCATCCCCAGTTCTCTGTCGCCTCTTACGACACCCACGGGACGATATGGTACGTGTGTGATATTCTTACACTACACTGTAATACCACTAATCATTTTAATTACTATTTATTTATTTTATTTTTGCACTTTATTGATTATACGAGTCGCTACGAGTGGACTCAATGCTCTTAGTCAATCTCTACCAGCCACTGCTGGCTCTCTTACCCTCAAGCCGGAACACATGACCGTGTCATATATGTATAAATGTTATCCGATAACAATAGTATTATTGTAGAATGCTGGGTCATATAGGTGCATTACAGGTACAGGTCCGGACCAAGAACACCTCCTTGTGCCACCCCAGTTTTTATTTCCTTTAATTCAGAATAAGAATCCTTCCGTCTTCTTTTGAATACTCTGATTGTTATGTGTAAGATTACTGTTTGGCAGCGAATGGCTTGGGAAGCATGATCTATAGCTTGTAAATCAAACCTCGATGCTACCCCTTATCAAACGCTTGTTGTGTATCTGAAAATTCTTGAAGACATTTCGTGATACTGTAATTACATATAAGACTAGCTGTTCTCCGCGACTTCGCCCGCGTGTTTATTTGTATAGTTGAAAGAAATGAAAACTTGTTTACAATATCTTCTTCATCACCCAGTAACAGTTTACAGCTGGACATGTTCCTCTTCCATTGTAGGCAGAATCTACCATTATATGGCATTTACAAGATTGTATACCGCCGTCTATCGGTAGCCAAACTATATTTGTGACATTTCTCATGTTGTCCTTGTCACATCCGTTGGACAAAATGGGATGGTAAACTCTTAAACAATCACCTCACGGCTATACTTTCTACTAACTATAATTTATTCCAGAAAAAAGAGAAAAGTTGATTGAGGACAAGGCACTGTCGGAGTGGATGTCAGCAATACCGATGAACAGTCTGAACTACAACGAAAGAAAACTCTTGGACAGCTTGAAAAATAGAGCCGAGTAAGTATTAACTGTAACACTTAGGTCGGTATTCAGAGAAAAAAATACTTGAGTTAGTGGAGTTTGAGCTTAAATTCGAGATTGTCACTCAATACCGCTTTGTTTACATTATTGATGTTTCACGACTAGAGCCCACGACTTTGTTCGCATAGAGAATTTAAATGTAAATGAAGCTGTGAGTTGGGGATGACCAAGCCTTTTTTGTTTGAGTCGACTGCAGTTGGACAGTGATAAGAAGCTTGACCTCTCCGCCATCAGTCTCCTTCATAATATAATTGGTTGAAACTGGCTCAAAGAAAGTTCAAATAATAAATTCTATTCACATATAATTATTGCATTATTTGTTAAACAGAGTGGGTGAACGTCGAAAATCCCACACACGCGAAGAGCGAGATAGACGTGAAGACCGCCGCAAGGAAGAGAGGCGAGATGAGAAACGAGAGGTAAGGCAAGACAGGAGAGAGGATAGAAGAGAAGAGAGGTCGGAGAGAAGGGAAGAGCGGCCAGAGAGAAGGGAAGAGCGGCCAGAAAGAAGGGAAGAAAGGATAGAAAGAAAGGAAGAGAGGACAGAGCGAAGGGTTGAAAGGGAAGACAAACGAGAGGAGAGGCGAAACGAAAGCCGTTCGCGATCGACGCAGGAGTCATCGGATGCTAAAAAACCTGAGATAAAAAAGATGCCCTTCATTGGTAAGACCGACAGAGTCAAGTCATTTTATTATAATGTTTTTCGATATTAATTTTTTTTATTGTTCAAATTGCTCTTTTATTTAGGTAAGATGCCTGTGTTCAAAAACTTGGGAAAAAAGGATAATACAAAAAACGAAGATCAAAAGAAGGAAGATGAAAAAAAGAAACAAGAAGAAGAAGAGTCAAATAAGAAAAGAAGGGTGGAAATGGACGCCGAGATACAGAAGAAGGTGAGGTGTTTTGTTTGATAACTTTTACGTTTTAGCAAAAATCATGCAAGGCTAACTATTGCTACTGAACATCTATCTACCTTTTGTAACTATTAGGTTTTGTTTCACTCTTGATTGCTGGTGAAAGTTAAAGTTACATGTTAAACTGCTGGGCATAGTCTTCCATCTCTACAATCAGTGGAGAGTAATAATTTTTATTTTACAGCTTAAAATTAAATAGTTTGGAAAATCCAAAAGTGCACGCCTCATGAGCGTTTAATTTTGATGAAAAAAAAATAAATTCCCAAAATAAATCGATTACACAAAGTATAAATTCGATATAGGTTGTATGGTACATTTGTCCTTTGTGTATCAAGGGCTAAAGAAGAAAATGAAAGCGCCTTTAAATTTTTAATAGCAATAAAAAAATTATAAAACTCGATAATCATTTTATTAACAAACGACACGTACTAGGCTATCGATATGAAATAGAAAACCAGTTGATATAATTCTGAAGCTAATAAAAAAAACCCGGTCTCGAAACGTCAATTTTCTCGGGAGTTATCGTGTTCACATAATCAAAATCAACATGCGGAGGTCCGTGTAAAAAAATTTCAAATCGTTTTTTTTATAAAATATAAGATGAATTAATTAGTGTTTTCTTGATATACGGCTACTCATATTATCGTGTAACTGCAATATGGTTATGATAGAGGCATTTTAGACCACACTATACCTAACGCTTTGCGTAAGGAGGCGTGTAATATAAAAAAGTGTGTAGATATGTATGTACCAGTCTTTCACATTAATTAAAAGTGTACACGACAGAGTAAATTCTTCCAGAGTGCTTGAAGAAGGTTGCTAGAAATAGAAAATTATCCTAGATTAGATAACTATTTTCTACCCTGTTGTCCATCTGGATAGTTAAGGCATCTTTTTTTTTTTGCTTTCATTCATCAATGCTACCGCATTCTGGTTCAAGAAGTAAGAGGGCCAGAATTACAGGCTTTAATAGTGCTCTAGGAGATAAGGCATGTGGCCTTCATGTAAAATGCCCTTCTTGTTTATGTCGGTGTTTATGGTCTCCAGTAGTCATGTACTGGTAACGTTTGTAACTTGAGAGCTTTAACAAATATATAATTTTGGATTCTGAAGAAGACTAAAACACTGGATTCCGACGTAAAGTCCTTATTTGTGTTTTGTCAATTCGTCTGAAAGTTGACCAGGACTTGATTGATATAATTAAAAAATATTTGATCAGTTAACAACAATATACTCTAGTAACTTTGGTCGTTTCACCCACCTGCAACATAAAGCAGGCTTTTAATTGGTTATTATGCTATTCGTTAAAGATGACAACTTTTTCCCAGCCATTTGTGCCACAGACCATTTGCGTCATAGGGTGTTAGTTGTGGGATATCCAATCTACTCAGTATGCATACAGATATTTCGCAAAAGCCTTAATCAATTATAATTGTTACTATTTCTACAGGTGGCAGAGTTTAAAGAGAAGATAGCGAAGGCTCAGTTAGAGAAGGAGCAACAGGATATGGCGCCATCTTTGGCGCTCTCCGCTCAGCTCGGCTTCCTTCCACCACCGCAGCTCATTACTCCGTTAGTGTATTATACTCTATTTTAGATTGTTGATTATTTTAACTACAAATGGGATTAAAATTAAACTTTGTTATAAAGAGACAAGGAATGTAAACAGAATAAAAGTGGAACAAGTATCTATCCTTGAGAGATACCTGAGATTTTTCCTGCAAAACCTGACATGTACCGTTTATTGTAGCTTATTAATTGTGAAGTGTCATAAAACTCTATTACACCATATACACAATTGTCTTACACTATTTGTCACATGTTCAGTGTTGATGGACAACGTTGTGAGGAAATCTGCATGTCTGAGAAATAAAAAAAAATATTTCGAAGATATGTGACGATCGCCAACAAGCATTGTGGCAGCGCGGCGGACATTTCGCTGCCCTAAAACCTTCTTAAATGAGACGAGGCATGTGCATTTACTTTACTCTTATGAATTTAAATTGTATTTTCAATACAGTGAAATGCCTATGCGATATTATAAAACTAAAAAGTTTTCATGATCTCAGGTTATCAATGATCTATTTAGATCATCCATTTCATAATTTGAAAAACCTCACCCAGGTACTTAATTTTTTAATTTAATAATTTCTCTATACTAAGGTTGTCTGACTGAAATCACTTTCAGAGTTGTAAGAACACTAGTTGTACTAATAACAAATCTTGAGATGTTTTGTTGTTCTTTATTATCTGTATCTTACCAGGTCGTCACTCCATTTGGCGAAGGAGGAGGGGGGGGGGTGTATATCCTACATTGGTAATCGGTACGAGGTAGTCTATAGATGCAGGTGGCCCAGGACCATGCTTTATTACACACATTACATTTATTAATTACAAACATTACATTACGGTACCATTATAAGTTTATAGAAACTTCACCATGTACCGATAACACAGACAGTAACAAATATGAGGTTTAGGCACAAAACTACACTTATTTGTTAAGTGCGTGACCTGCTATTGCAGAACGCACCGCTCATGGATCGTATAAACGGCGTTTGGTTTTAAAGCGTTATCGTAATATTTAATAATAATTCATATTATGTTCAGTCCGTACGGATAAAGAATGGGATCATTCGATGCGATTCCGCGACAGTTGTCTTTAAATGATAACAGAAAACGAATGTTTAAGGTTATAGAAAAATATACCGGTGTATGGGACGTAGGTTGTTGTGTGTTGAAAGTCTTCGTCAGCTGTTAGAGGTAGATGATGGCGCTGCAGAAGCGGTCTTATGGTCCCTAAACTGATGGCTCAGGTTGATACCCTCAACCAATAATTAATATTAAAGTTGCAATTAATCTACCTTCAAAAAATAAATAAAATATAAATAAATTTAATATTCTAAATGTTAAATATAATATAATTATGAAAATAATAATAATTATTAAAAAAATATATAAAAATTATATTTATATAAAGATTCTCTTGGTATAATTATTAATATACAAATCCAAATTCTTAATAAAATCAAACCAAAAAAAATTAAATCACAACCTATTATATATCTTAAATTACAAAAATTATTAATATTTAAACTTAAAATTTATAAAAATAAATAGTATTAAATATCAATATTATTTGGACCAATCAAAATATATTTTTTATAAAATTAATAAAGAAATTCCGGTTTCATACTTTTACACCTGGTTACATATTATCACAATGACATTTGGTTTTAAACATAGAGCAACACGGATCACCGGTGGACGGGAGGGAAGTAGTCATACGCAGGCGTTCCCCTCTGTCAAAGTATAATTCCACGCGGTCCTATGCATACAACTAGTTGCACCCGCACTGCTCACTAGACTAAATCTAGTTGCGCGGCTGAATCGACGTCCTACAAAAATGCTGAATCGATCAGTTTTTTTTTGCTGCAAAATGAGATCCGAAATTAATATGTACTAATTGTGTTCTGTAAGTTATGTCATAACTAGGCAAGTCATATGTTACTTTTTTGACTCTACCAGTGATTTATAGAGTTGCACAAGAATTTTGAGATGCCCATGTTTAGCAGTGGACTCGGCGGGCCGTAATAATGATTGATATCTGTAATTGATTTGGATAAAGAATAAATTAGTATTGTAATTGTTCGTCAGGCCAATGCCGTCGGTGCCGCCGCAGCAGACGCCGAACAACCTGCCCAAGGACTTCCAGGACGCGCTGGACATCATCTTCCCGTCCAGCAGCAAGCCGCAGGAGCTGTCGCAGCAGGACATGTTCATGCCGGGGCTGGCGGGCTTCCCGGTGGTGCCGCCCTTCGCGCACTTGGGCCTGGTGCAGCAACCCGTCTCCCCGCTCATGATGGGCTTCGACCTCAACGCGCAGCTGTTCCAGCACCCGCAGGGCCCGCAGCTATACGACCCCCACGTGCCCGTCGTGCCCAACAACCACAAGAGGAACAACAAGCAGCACCAGAGGAACCAAAAGTCCAACCAGAACAAACAGACCAATCCCACTTCGAAGGAAGTAGGACAGGAACCAAAGCCGGAGGAGAAAAAGGAAGCGAAACACGAACCCAAGCAGAAAAACAAGGAGGAGCTGGACGAACTAGCGATGCTCGGAATAGACGCTTCGGACGTTGGCGCTGGAATGTGATTATGTACGGTCGAGCATACAATTGTATTTTGCGTGAAAGCATAATTGTTATTATGTTTTTAGTTTTAGTTTTATAGTTAATTATAATCAAAGCCGATATGATTGTTTGATTTTACTACCATGCGATAGTTAAAGAGTTACATGCACAAAAAATTTTTCAATAAAACCTAAGATTCATTCTGACTTATTGTTGTATATGTGGCAATAATTATTGTAATCCTTGGCAATTCAAATAAAATAGAATGAATATTTACTAAAATATATAAATATTAAATTTTGACGGGAAACTACATTGAATTGACATCATATTATGTTAATGTGTATATGTCATAAAATATTTTCTTAACTTAATAAATTAACACGAAAGATAATCGCGGCGTTTTAAAACGTTTGATCGTATAAATATATTTATGATATCAGTTTGCAATATTAAAGTTACTGCAACTACATAATAAATTCAAATTAAATGCACAAAAGCTTCAATAAAAGAAGTTTCTGTGCTTTGTTATAAATATTTAAAAATCATTATCATTGATTATATTGAGACATCTATTTTTTTACGATCTAGTGTAATAAATACTAGATCGTAAAAAAATAGATGTCTCAATACAATTATTATAGTACAAATCATTTGTAACATTATCATAAATCTTTGGCTTATTTAATGTACTTTTTGTAATAAAAATTTAATGTATTTAGTAAGAATTTTAACGTATTACTGTCGCATATTATGACCATAAACAAAATTCTGCATTAATGGAGGCCTTATCGGATTCAGTGATAGCTTTAGTGAGTATGGTAAAACATTTAAAGACAATTATCACACTTATGTTTATACAAACTAAAACTGTTTTTATAAACTATTTTTGCCCATATTGCATTATTTTGGGAAATAAAGTGAGTAAGTTTAATTTTGTTTAATTTGTGATAGGATTTATTGACATGTAAGTTTTAGCAGCCTTCAGAATAGAGGTTTTCAATTTGACTATATGTGATCTTTTATATAACTATAACTAATTGTGAACTGATCTTGATGATTCTACTTTGATTAGAGGATTTACCTCAAGGCAAGTCTTATTTAAATTTAAAGCAAAATTTCCACCCTTTATAGTAAAAAATAGGGGACAAAGCTTGAGGTTGTGATATACTTTATTTAGTCCATTCAAAGGGACATGTAAAATAATTCTGCATGTCCCTTTTATCAACTAATCTCTACATATAACTTCTGAAGTCGGGGGTCTTTATTTTTTCGATACATAACGTGACCATACGTCCCGCTTTGGTCGGGACAGTCCCGCTTTCAGGTTGTCTGTCCTGCTGTCCCCAGCGAAGGCAAAATAGTCCCGGTTTCGTAAACAGACATAACTTCATTCTTCTACATCTACAGCGTTCGAGTCGAATCTTTGAAAGAGTTTTGTGATTCAACTGACACTGAGTATCACAAACTGTTGGGCTACTGTAAAATAAGATGGCTTGCGTTAATGCCCGCGCTTGAGAGAGTTTTAAAAATGTTTCAACCTTTAAAAAGCTATTTTCTAAGTATCGACTAATTCCCAATAATTTTAAATTTTTTTTTCGAAATTCCCAGATCAGTTGTGGTTACATTTCTTGCACGCACAAGCAGCGACATTTCATGAAGCTGTGTTAAAAATTGAGAGTCAAAACGTGTCTGCAATAGTGTGGGAAGGAAATTAATCGTCTCCGAGATAACCTGGCACTGAGGAGAGCACGATTTTCCTTCCTCACACCGTCCGTAAGCTACTTAAAAAATTACAAGGAACAGAAATTTGTGCTGACCAGCAGAAGGTTAAAACTGCAGCGGCTGAGTTTTATAGGACAAGCAAAGAATGCTTGGAGCCGTGGTGTCAATTCAACTAGAACTACAATTGTTTCAATGGGCAAATTTAACAAAAGCACCTACTTGGGATGAGGTACAAAAAGTAATGGATTTGCTCATCACGCAAGGGATTATTAGCATCAGCTAAGATACGAATGTCTTTGACGAGTTTTCGCTTATTTCCAACTTTGCGACAGCTGAAAAGATCACTGGCTGGAATGATGAGAATTTTGCTGCTGAAAACCGTTAGGTTGAATTATTTCAGCACTTCGGTGCCACATAACTTCACTTAACGAACTTTTAAAACTTTCAAACGGCATGACTTTAAATTGCCTGTAGCCACTTTTCAGGTCCAGCGTACTAAACCACTTTACGCCTGTAAGTATGTCCAGCGTGTCATCAATTCTTGACAAGGGATAGCTGTCCTTCTTCGTAACGTCGTTCAGACGGCGGTAGTCAACACAAAACCGCATGCTGCCGTCCTTCTTACCAGCACCACAGGTGAACACCATGGACTAGATGAAGGTTCAATAACACCATCCTTCACCATTCCCTCAATCATGGTTTCCACTTCCTTTTCATGTGCTACAGGCAACCTTCTTGGCCGCTGACGAATAGGCAATTCTTGTCCTGTGTTTATTTTGTGCTGAACTAAGCCAGTCTTTCCTATGTCAGCTTCGTTTGACGAGAAAACATTGGAGTACTGGAGTAACAACTTCTTCGCCTTGACCATTTCATTCGGGGAGAGAACGCTGCGACAGTCTTCTAAAAGTGTGGTCACTCTCGTTTGTCCATCCTTGCTGGGGGTCCCAGTCGATAGATATTGGCACCGACGCAACCAATCCACTTCCTCACTAGTACCAACCAATGTGCCTTTTTCTATAATCTGTTCCTGATCACAAGGGTTCAACACACGTACTCCTAAGATGTCGGCGGTTCTGACCAAGGTTCGAGCCACTCCCCATGGAAGGTCATTGTCTACCCTTTCCACGAGTACACAACGATGAGCTTGCCCAAGATTCCGAGGAAGACTAACCGGCACAATCGTTTCCGATCTCGGCAGAAGAACAATCTTCTTAAGGCTGTACACATTCCCTGGTAACGCCCCTTCCACAAAAAGTTCCTCTTGTCCACATTGCAAAACACCTTGCTTTACGTCAATCTCACAACAATTCTTCCTCATAAAGTCTAGGCCCAGGATGCAGTCGTCCATTATATCAGCCACGATGACATTATGCAGGTAGATCATGTTGCCTAGCTTCAACTCCATCTCCTTCTCTCCACGGACGGGTATGCGCTGACCAGTGGCTGTCACCAAATTAATGCGTTCGCAGTTGTATGCGGAGTCCCCAAGGAACTGACATAAGTTGGGAACTGACAACCGTGCGAGATGCTCCAGTGTCTATGGTCAGTTTACACGGCGTTCCGTTGACCTCGCCCTTGATGATTAGGCTGTTCCCATCATGGGTTTGTGAGATCGAAATCCTTGGGGCTCTTTTAACATCAGCCAGCACCCGCCCCGCAGTCCTGGCTTTTACTCGTTACTGCCCTGTACCCTGCTAATGCTGGGCGGTGCTATTAGCCGCACTACCCTCTCGAGATCGATCACCTTCCCTTTCTACAGTTCGCTTAGGGCAGCTGGATCGAAGATGGCCCTTTCCCCACAGCCGTAGCACCTAGGGCTGTAGCCGTTATTGCGGTCCCGAACTGTAGCTGCTGCAACCTCCGTGACGCGATGGGAACGATGACCCTGCCGCACGGCTTCCACCTCCAGTGCATGGGTCAAGGCGTCCTTAAGCGTCTCGTGGTGCCCGAGCCTCACAGCAGCTCTGACTTCAAGGTCGCGGATGCCGTCGATGAATGTCTGCATCAGGTTCCCTACAATGAGCGCAGGTACAGACTGGTATGCTTTTCGAACCAGCTTCTCTACCTCAAAAGCCCATTGCTGCAGGTTTACGTTACTGCGTTGCACGCGATCTTTGAGCTGCGCACGAAAGACGTGTTCCAGGTGAGCATCGCCATATCTCGCCACTAATGCCTCAAGGAGCTGCTCGTAAGTCACTTCCTTACCGAGAGCTTCCAGAACAGTTAAGGCCTGGTCTCGCAGGCCTAGGGTGAGAGCAGTCATGGCCTGACTTTTATTCCAGCCGTTCGCCTTCATGACAGCCTCGAATTGATTTTGTAGGCCGACCAGGAAGAAGTCCCGTCGAACGGTGGCACTTTGAATCCACGTAGCGAAGGTGTTGTAGCTACCACGGGAGCTGTAACTCCATCCCCAAGTATGAGGTCGTCCAGCGTTTTCTTCACGTCAGCCATTACGTTGTCAACCCGATTGTACACTTGGTCGATTCTGGTTTCGCTTCCGACAGGCGGTTGTCATATTGAGCAACCTTATCCTTCACCTCCCTTATCTCTTTTCCGAAGGTAGCGTGAAGGTCCTTCAGGAGAAGTATCTGCTCTTCCTTATTGCGTTTAAGCTGCTCTTCCAACCGACGGCCCTGTTCCTCCTGTTGGCGGGCCTGTTCCTCTTGTCCGCGCTGCAGCTGTTCTTCCAACCAACGGGCCTGTTCCTCCTGTTGGCGGGCCTGTTGCTCTTGTTGGCGGGCCTTGTTCCTCCTGTCCGCGCTGCAGCTGCTCTTCCAACCGACGGGCCTGTTCCTCCTGTCAGCGAGCCTGTTCCTGCAGCATCATCATCAGAGCACCAAAGTCAGGTGCTGTAGATGCAGGAGCTGATGACGGACCGGCCTCCGTGGTCAGCAGCTGGCCCTCCGATGTTTGCGGCGTTGTATTACCAAATCGTCTCTGGTCCGTCTTCAGCTAGTGTCGACTTCGGATACGCTCCATGTCGTCCTTTGGTAAAATCGGCATGATTTAATCCCACTTCTGACACCAATTGTTACGAGCTTGGGGTTCGAGACAATTAAAAACTGCCGATTGAATTACCAAAATTGACACTTTAATTACACAACACTAATTACAATCTAAAACCACACTAATAATAAAACACAATCACTTTAGTTCGCAGTTATTTCGCTTCGAAGTATTCTCTTGTATCGACAATTAAAAACTGCCTTCGTCGTGGTCTATACCGGCCTTATATAGGGCCTCAGATAGTTTCCAGAACCTTCTACTGTAGCGACATCTAGAATGTTCGAGTACATAT